CAAGTAACTTGACCAACACTGGTGCTTACATGTTAAAAGCCAACAGCTTTATGTTTTATTTGTTTCAGGTTAGAGACAATGTGAGGCCTCTCTACAAGAGGACCTTAGACCTTGATAACGAGTATAAAAAAACATTTGATCAGAAAAGTGAAACTCAAGGTGGAAAAAAACTGGAGTATGAGAGAGTAGTTCAGTAACAGGCATGGGCAACAATAAGCTACACTGTATTTTCTTTGTTTCCAGGAACGGGAGGACAAAAGACAAAAGGTCTGTTTGTGTTTTATTGGGGCTCTCTCACAGAACTGCCAGTAGGGTGGTCCAGGGTGATGGGGTCCACAACATCACTGAGCCTGACAATGTTACTGAACATTTTAAGAGGTTTCTAATGAAGCTGTAAAAATACAATTGAAATTGGTCAAATTTGATGTAAAAATACAAATCTCTTTATTACATACAGTCAAGGAATGGCAACAGCTGGATATCTGAGTAAATAGCACAAAAAATAACACTGCAGAAAATTCCACTTTCCTCTCTATGGCCATTGAATGCACATAATAAACAATTACAGTATCTGGAGGTCAGAGAGAACAACCTTATGTGAGGTATTTACAGTATAATTTCCCTGTCCCTGTACAACAATACTTTTCTGTTTAACTAACATAACCATATATCCTGGTGTTAGATGTCACACGACCCAAATCCTGTATATTTATTACTATAATATAATATGTTCCTCCAAGGCCAAAGACATTATTTTAATTTTTTGCATTTAGGTGTCTGATCACAAGGCTGCTGCACAATATCAGCAAGCCGGTGGAAACAGCCAAGGTGATTACAGCCAACCTCAGGTTCCTGACAACAGTGTATACGTCCTGAACCTGGACAAGGTACTGGACCACAGTCTTCCGGTGCACTTTACTCTTTACTCTTTCCACTGTCTCACAGGTGTAAAGGCCAGAGTCTGAATAGGATGGTCTGATGATGAGACCCTGGCTGAGAACAGTGTGCCTGGGACCAGGGAGGAGGATGCTGTCCGAGAAGCGCCAGCTGATCGGGAGGTTCGTCTCAGGGGAACATGGGAGGAACTGCGCTACCCCGATGGTGAGGTGGACTACGGTAGGTGTCATTTTCACTGAGGAAGAAATCAAGCACGTACACATTCACAGTTTCTTTCAACATTTATCTCTTACTACATCCTACACAATGTAATTCTATGTTAATGTCGAGAGCTGGAGCTGTGTAAGCATATATGTGAATGTTTAGCTTACACTCAGAGATCGGGCACATACTGATGTCTCCATCAGTCAAACTCTGAATCCTGCAGATAGATAGAACAGATGGAAGATAAATACCTACCTCAGTATGAATCTTGCAACACAGAATTACTCAAGTGAAAAACATGTTTGTGAAAGAAAAAGGATCATAAACTCACATGGACCCATGTAATGTGCCAACAGCAGACGCACACTGGCCTTTGATATGGTCCCAGCCGCAGTAAGGGTCTCTGGCAAGAAGGCAGTCCTCACATGATGTGTAGCGGCTGCAGTCCCTCACATTAACCTGAACAGCAACGCCATTGGCGGCGCTGTACAGCTGGCCCTACAGTTTAGAGTTGTGGTATTTTAATTACAACTGTCTAAACATCAAGTAAGACATAAAGCAGGTCTCAAGAGAACAGAATATTTTACCACATTGGATTTGAATTTGGAAAACAACACTAGTGACTTGAGCCTCACAGTTTTGGAGGAGAGCTGGAGGAGGTTGACAGGCTGAGGAGTGTGAAACAGCTGCAGCTCCTCGATGATGCGGCCGTCTTCACCATCAAACCTCACTGCCTTCTGCAGCCAGCCAGAGTCTGAGGGAGACATTCGTCTGTAAACACAACTCATGAGTGATGTGAGTTATTGGTGTACGTCTGCACATGCCAGTCGCATACCTGTGCCAATGAGCATGACTTGATGCCGTAGTCCATCCAGTGACGTGACTTGGTCCACGACCATTTTGGAAAATCGTGTCCCTGTGCGTACCAGCAGAGGTTTGCCAGTTATTGGTGCGACCGCCCCCTTCATCAGAGGGTGATTCTTCACAAACAGCAGGGTTTTGTCTGAGAGGTCGAGAGAGGTCATCACGCCTTGGGCCCGCAGTTCATCATTAATGCACTATGAGAACAAGACAGAAACAGGTTAAAGATGAGATTTCAACTGTAACAGTGTCGTCTAAATAGTTCTATAATAAGAGCTTTAAAAATTATGCGTTTTTTAAATTGTTCCTGGCTTGATACTTACTGAACCAGGGTGAGGGAATGGCTCCTCTCCTGTGTATGTGTCCCAGCTCCCAGTATGACTCTCAGTCAGAAACCTCCCACTGAACACCTGCGTGATGTCTGACAGCTTGTATGCACAGACAGCAGACTGGCTGCAAGTAGCTGAGGATTCCCTGGGATGGATACAGAAAAGATTTCCTGTTGACCTTGTGAAGCCTGACACATAGAAAATAGCCTTTAAATGCTTATTAAAGTGTTTATTGGAACTTTTGACAAAAACAGTAAAATCATTAGCATATGATATTTTTTATCATATTATATTTGATACATCAGAAATGTATGGCAATTTATTGATCACAGTTTAGTTTTGTAACAACAACATAAAATAAATATAAATATAATCTGAATTGGTCAATTTAACAATTATTAGCAAGGGAGCCATTTCAACATTCAAGTGATCGTTGTGAAAGCAGGTTGCATATATAAAACCCACATAAATATATCAATTTCCACTTTGAATACACTTGCTTTAATTATCAGAACAGTGTGAATGACATTGTGGTAAACATACATTCATATTGTGCCTTGAAAGGCAATACAATGACCATTGAGGGATTTGCATAAAAATGACCTTTTATACATGCTGTATTATATTTGATACATTTTCAACATTATTTTAACTGTGGATAAATGCAACGTACGAATTGGAGGTGAATGTGGCGTAGAAGATGGTATTCGTCCAGTTATTTTGGTCTTGGAGAAGGAAAACGTCCTGGACCAGAGACGGAGAGCCAGCATCGCCAAATGGACAGTCCAGGCGGGCCTTCAAGAAAGAAGTCCACTTTTTCTGCAGGGTCCTTTTGCCCCCCAAGTCACTCTAAAACATTACACACACACACTAGTAACGAGTAACATTATCTTAATTTACACTTACAGTCGTGTTGAGCTGATTTTAGGCACATACCTTACACACACGGGCAATCCTTGACACCTGGATGTTGTCTTTACGTTCCTCCACAGCGTTCTCCGTGAAGAACAAGAATACATTGTCGTCTTCTCCGCCCTCACTGTTTTTGCTTGCTTCAACAAGGTTTATGGAAATCATGGTTGGCTCTGAAACCAAACCATTAGAAACATGAAATGACAGAGTATAAAGATTTTACAAGGTCTGAAAACAAAACAACTGAAGTGTGTACTTGTTTCCCTTTTCAGAATTCATGAATCTGTCTCATGAAACAGTTCACAGAACCTTAAGTTGGATCATTTGGTTCCTGTACGAGAAGCCATATAGTATAAGAGCAGCTTACCATTGAACCAGGAGCGTTTCATTTCAGTCTTGAGCGGGTTCAGTCCGTGTCTCTGAAACACCAGCTCTATGCCCAGAAAGTTGGAGGATGCGGCCGAGTACAAAGTGTTTCCTGTCAAGAAGAAAGAAACCAGCGGGTGTCGATGTTGTTGTCAAAACTACAAACCAGGTTTTCTTACCCTAAACCTTTTTACAGCCAGGTATTTATCTGAGGAGAGCAGCACTGACAAAACAGAAATAAAGCGCTAATAAATGTATAAACAGTTACTCACCATCCATAAGGGAAGCAAAGCGTTGGTAGGGGTCAAAGGGGACTTTCCCCCGACCCGCCTCTTTCTTTCCCTCTAGGGAGACATTTCCATTTGTCAAAGTCTGTTGACAGAGATATTAATGTTTGTGAGGCTTAATTCAACCACCAGTTTCTTCTTTTTGGGGGGGTTAATACACTTTTTCACTTTCTTGCAGAGAGTTAGAACCCTAATCTTTTTCCCCTTACGGAGCTAGTTATAAAAACATTATTCTCGGCTCTGTACAACAACATGGCACAGTACTGCTTTTATTACTCTTATTATTTTTTAATCTGTTCAACATTTACATCAAATGTAATTTACATCTCTGGATACTTAAGTAAAGTTACTTACCATGTAGTCACATGCAGGGTTGAAAGCATTTGTTCCACACACTAGCATTTTACCGTCCTCCGTGGTGTGTAGAGTCCGGATGAAGTTATCACATTCCTGTTGCGATTACAATGAATACAACTTTATTCTTCTGGATGGTTATAAACTGCACTAATAGCTGATGACATTCACTGATAGTTCACTGCTCCCTATACCGTAGCGTCCTTGCCCTTCATTTGACAGAGGTCTTTGTCTGCTGAACCCACTGTCCATTCGGCCTGCAAGAACAGAGAATGAATGATGACCATGGATATGTTAGGTTTATACTGTCAGTGGAAATATAAAGGATTCTTTTTGTATTAGAAAATAGTTCTGACAGCGAATAGTTCTTGATACAGAAAACTGTCCAGTCAAGCATTCACTGTGCTGCTATAAATGATGCATTTCTCTTTTTTGTTTAGTCTGTAATGCACTTTCTACATTCTTCATTCACAAGAGCCTTTATTATACTTGTTCTATGAAGGTGCTATTTGAGTACTTAACTTACTTGCATTTAAGAGGCCCCTCTGTGTGATTTAATCTAATATGCCAATTTAGAAATCGGCTTGTTTTTGAGTCATTGTACTCTCAGTAAGAAACCTGCAGCTGTAGCTTAGCAGTGTTTATGTTGTATGAGTTTGAGCATGTGAGGACTCAGTAACTAATGCACATTCATTGTAAGTGGTGATTTTGTTTCCAAACCAGCCAGGAAAGGCTCCACTTCCAGCGTGTTGGGTGCAGCATCCCAGCCGGTCTTACCTCGCTGGTCTTTCTGGTGATATCATCCAGGCTGAGGGTGAGCACTCTCCCTCTGGCTCCGACGACAAGCTGGCCGATGTCGTCTCTTATCATCAAAGAGCTCAAACTGCCAAAGCCAGACTCTTTGAACTGTTTTAAGTTCATGTCTAGACCAGGAGCAAAGAACTGGAGGTTACTTTTCAAATCCACTAATATTCTTTCCTGCTGCTGCATGCTGTAATTTGAATTGCTCCGGATTGTGTGTTATTCCTATAGGCAGTGTTCTGTCTGTGTGGATTAATATGTGTATATAGACTCAACATAACAACACCAGACTGTCAATCCACTATGCAGTGATAGGTACAGCATATTGTTTAATGATATCATTTCAGCTGTGATGCTCCCTTCAGAGAGCCAACTGCAGTCTATGTAGTCTACATTTAGACTGGACTCTTACCTTGAAAGGAAACAGTCCTGCGGGGATTTGCTGCAAGGCCTCCACTCATGAGGAGGAGGAGATAAAATAGCACAGCAGGAGGTCTCTTCATGTGCTATGTAAGTCAGGAAAAACACCAGTTTAGACCAAATTTGGCTTCAATGTGTAAGTAGGAAGAAAGTCAGATAACAGCAATGATTTATCTCTTCTTTGCTCTTTTTTGGCTTTTAATTCTCACCTCTTGCTTGCTGATGTCGTTTTCCGAGGAAAAATAAAGGTGATGTGTTGTAAAGCAGTCGATATTTTTCTTGTTTTCTCGCCTTGTTTATCTCGACATGTGATGCACAGCTGTATTCAGTTCAGTAGGGCAGTAACCGCCTGTGGTGTTTCAAATACACAGAATCTGGACCGAACGCGCGCACAGAACTCTCTCTGATTCTTTCTGGAATATATCTGACCAATGGGAAGCAGGCAACTGTCTAATATAGCAACCGACAGTTATGAGATAGTATATGAGACGTCCATTCAAATGATATTGATGTATTTCCATGAAAATTAATTCAGTCCAAAGCTGCAAGTTTCCAAAGCGCTGCGCAAGGATCGAACCACAAATTAAACCCCGCACTCTTGTTCGTTTTGTTCGTTTTCTGCGCACATGACAGTCATTAATTAAAAATAATATAATAATAAATGACCTTCAACGAATAAATAACGGATTCACCAAGTCAGCACATGCATCACTAGTGGTTATTATGGTATTTTTATCGGGGCACAATAAATAAATAAAAAAACAGATTTCTGCCGTCTTTTCTCAAAATACTGTAATGACTGTGAGCATGTGTACTTTGGATGTACTGTAATTATGAGGTTTTAGAAACATTTGTTTCTGTCACAGTTTTTTAGGTCTTTATTATACCCTGAACACCTGACACAAGTCTTAATACATAGTAATGTTAAATAACAATTCAGTAAAATTAACTTGCAATAGCTAAACTAATCAAAACACTGGTATAATAGTGTATAATACTTATAAATAAATCAGATTTGGTGTCAGTCATGAGGCCCTGAGAGGCTCTAATATTGCTTTAGATACAATAAATATCCATTTGGCCATCAGTAATGTAATGTAATCTGTGGAACCAGCTTCCAGTTTGTGGTTCAGGAGGGCAGAATACCCTCCTCCGCATTTAATAGGCTTAAGACGTTCCTATTTGATAAAGCTTATTCCATTTATTCCTTATTGGAATCAAAAGAAATGGTTATGAACCCGCCATAATAATGCTCTGTAACACCAATTACTTTAATATATAATTGTTACTTGTAATCACTTATCTATCATTCAATGTGCTAAATATGAATATTACATGGCAAAAAATGTCAGGCACCAGTATATCCTGGTCTAGGGGTAATACAACAGGAGTAATGGTCATTTTAAGGACGCTGACTGCCGGATTTTGAAAATGGGGCCTTTCTTGGAGTCAAACTTTGGTAAACTTTTAGTATGTTTTTAAGTACATCGATACTACTGTAAACCACTGAGAAACTTTTGTTAGAATTGTTTTGGCGTCAAGCCATATTCGCAGCTGACCTATATAGTTAGGACGGCTCAGGTGAGTCCTGAACCATCCCTTAGTTAGCTGCTCCTAGGCCTAGACTATCAAGGGATTTTCGCCATGATCAGCTGAGACCTCCCTCCCATCCTCTCCCCTCTCCTTTCCACACTCATTCATGTCCCCATTAATGCATGTTAAGCTACCTTCACTTCTTCCCGGAGTTCTTGTGCTTTCCTCGTCCCTGCCAGGTTCTCATGGATCCTGGTGGAGCCCTTCCCTGCCATAGTCCTGCTTGACTGCCATTGCTAATATTACTGATATTAGTGTTATCATTATTATTATTACTATAGATACTATTATTACTATAATCACTGCTTATTGTCCCCCATCGTTGTTGTTGTCGTCGGCATTTTCTTCATGTTCATCATCATCACCATCAGTCACTTCTATTACTGTAGTTGTTGCTACGGTTGTTGCTGTGCACTTTTGTCTCTGTCTGTGTCCTTTTGTCTTTACCCCTCTCTCTCTCTCTCTCTCTCTCTCTGTATCTCTCTGCCCTTGATCCTGTGCTATGGATTCTGCAGGTCTTTTGGTGCTACTGCAACCTGAAGCCACTAGAGGGAGCAGTTATACTGAGCTAAATGAAGCCTGCTGATATAACTGTAATTCAAAATCAAAATCATAAAGAAGGCAGTGTTTTTTTTATTATTTTCATTATAAAAGTATATTAATCTTCAACTTAAGATTCAATACCACCAGTTTATTTACTGTAGATGTGTATTGTCTGGCAGTACACAGATCTGATTTTAGAAAGAAACTTTCATTATGTGACTCTGAGAGACAAACTTTTTATTAACTAAATATTTATCATATCATGGGATCTATGGCAGTATAACAATGTGAGAGTTAGTGTGTGATTTTACTTCCTATACACCACATTGAGAATTTGCATAGACTGTATAAATAAAGGGAACTTGCCTTGTCCAGCAATATGGTATAACCTGAACATTTGTTGTAAAATTCTTCAGTGTTGCTAAAATCTATCAGTTTGTCTTCAGTCCAGTAAAGTTTAGTCATTTGGATTAGGCTTTAATTTGACCTAAATATTAGTAGATACAATATCTTCCTATAACTTTGCATGACATTATCTGTGTTTAATAGTGTGTTAACATTTCAGTTGGATTTCAAGCATGGTAATATGGACTTATTAATGAGAATTTCAAGACAGTATGTGATGCCCTTTAATATTTCATTCTAATAATTCATACATGTATTATTAATTAACAGTATTTACAGCTCTTTAAGTACATTTATTTTCCTCACAGGAATTGCTTAAAGCTAAATGTTCCCGCTTGAGAGTGCCATAAAAATGATATGCCCCCCCTCAAGTGTGAACCAGCCACGCCCTTTTTGTCCGCGTGGCCCCGCCCCCTCCCGCAGACTCCGTTATTATTTATGGGCGTTGATTTCCGGTATTTAGCGCTTGGATTTTCAGGTTCCACGAAGTGTTCGTTATGTGTGTGTGTGTGCGTGTATGAGTGAGAGTGAGAGTGAGAGTGTGAGTGAGAGTTTGTAGTGCGCTTGTAGTGCGCTTGTAACCGTTCCCAGCTCGGATACTGTCACCGCCTTGCACCGCAGGCAGGCACCGTGTTCCTACATGCAAGTTACCGTCGCGGCACCACAATCGTTGGCCAGCAATGACCGAAAACCCCGCGACCAAGCCAGCCAACGGGGACGTGTGTCAGCGTGTGAAGAACGGACTGAAACCGCAGAGAAACGGCTTGCTGAAGAGCCTCCACCGCTGCCATGAGCGGCAGCCCAAGCACCACTGCCACCCCGAAGAGGAGGAGGAGGAGGAGGTGAGGCCCGGAATGGGACGGGGAGGAGAGGTTGGAGGAGCCGGGGGGGAAGCATCTACTGTGTGGACCCGGAAACAGCCGGACTACTGCTGTCATTACTGTTATTTTCATTAACTCCCGCGTTATGAAGACATGACACGATCACAGCTTTCATGTGTTGCCACTGATTGTCTGACAGACTGTTGTTACCGAGCTCTGGTTGTCTCGATCACTCTTGTACAGAGTACACGCCAAACTCCGTAAGCAATATTGCAGTTTAAAGAGTTTTTGCTCATTCTCAATGTTCTATAGTCCCTCGAAACATGGATCCAAAGCTTTGTCTGAATCTTTACGAGACGACCTTTCATTCGGCGTAATCATATTTGCATCAAGCAGCATATGAATTCATTTAAATCTCAACTTTATGAATGGGCTTAGTCGTTTTATAGGAAGGAGGTTGTTCAAAAAAGGCGGGTGTGACAACTCCGAAAGCTGACATTACACGGAATTCTAACGCTGTTGAATGAATAATATGCATGCCGAATTAACGAAGAGGTCCAGCTGTGGTCACAGTGTGTGAATTTGATTTATAGGCACAAAGTAGACACAGTATAACTAATAACAATTTCTAAATACTGGGAATCATACAGTATCTCATGATGCACATACCATCACAGCCAGTCAAACAACTTGGTACAGTTCTCATTGCTCTGCCAGGATGATAGCAGTAAGGTTTCGGGTAGCCTCCTTATCTCATCAGTTGAGTGTGTGTTAATCTTCGAGGAAATGGAGTGTTTTACTTTATACTTCTATGCTAGTATACTCAATACTCCTTTTGGGCTCAAATTGAACTATAATATTCTCTTTTTTGGCCTGTTCTGGGTGTGGGCTGCAATCTTCTTTGGTTTTGAAAGTTTCTTGAATTGGGAAACTCCCTTCATAACTAATGCTGAAACTGATGAGTTGAACCAGTGCACCTGTTCAGTTAAAGCTGTCCACTGAGACTGCGTGCGTGCTGTGAAGCAGCTTTTTCCTTAGAGGCTAATGAAATTTCCATGCTTGGGTGCACCCTCTGTAACTGTCCCAATTAACAGGTCCCTTCTGACTGTGTAATTAGATGCTGTCACACATGAGGATTTAGGATATGTTGTGTTGAGTGTTTTTTTTTTTTTTATTAATTTCTAATCTGAATTTTGCACCCCTGATCAAAACGAAAAGGACATTGTAGGAAATGTTTTAACCATCTCCTGACTGCGGAGTGTGTGTATGATTTGTGACTTTTTCACAGCATTTTGGTTGCACATCATCACAGCCAGTCAAACATAATAAGTTATAGTAGGATGCTAATAACTGGCATCTTACTCAGTGGGTTAACTGCTGGCAAAGGCAAATTCTTCCAAATAATTTCTAGTTTGGGATTCTGAAGGAAAATGAGTGTAGAGACGTGCTGCTGACAGGTTATTCTCATCACCAGACACTGTGGTGCCAGAGAAACAGCCAGTTCCTTCTGCTGATGTTTCAGTAAACTGGGTTGGGTTGGCTGAGAAACTGTGCGCCTGGTGACTGATCCTCAGCTGATTACGGTTCATGCAGATGTCAGCGCTGCTGCTCTGTAAGGTATTTGAGAGAGAGAGGCATGACCAGTCACATGTTGGTGCCTAATAGCCATGAGCACAGAGACCAGCATGATGGGAAGACAAAATTGCATAACGTCTGTGAGTAGTGAGTATCTGTCCATCCGCTTATCAAAATGGAGGAAATAAACACTCAAAGTTGCAATATCTTTGTAAAGGATCTTACGCATGTTAAGTTTGTTGTTGAAAGGTAGATCACTCAGTTCCAAGTGTACAGATTTACATCAACACAACCAGCTCTTCCCTTATTTGGCAGTCAAATCTTCCCTCCCTGGCCTGGTCACACAGTGTTTTCTTTCCTGTATAGTTAGTGTGCAGCCGAACTAGAGCTAAGTGCTGTGTTCTTATCTTCCTCCCACTTATTATTTGGCTGCACCTAAGTCACCTTTTAAGTGAGTTACAGAAACCTCGGCCAATGACAACAAAAGACAAAGCGTGTTTTTTTTCTTCATTAGAACAAAAGGAGAGGGGAGTCAGACTGTACATTCCAGTATTCCAAATATGAAACTTCATTCTAGCTTTATGTGTATTAGGGGTGGGTAAAAAGATAAAGCAAGATAACATAAAGATAGCAAGAACAACAAGCTG